CATATTTTTGATATAATATGTTCACAACAATCTACCATTTATTGTTGATCGAATTATTAGTCTAAGTATTTCCAATGATGAAAATACTCCAGAATAAATTGATTTACTTCGTTCATATATTCCATCATTTAGTTAATTTACTATATTACAATCACTATCAATATATCATTTTCATTCATTCATCATACAGGGTCGGAAAGAATATTATTCAAGGGGGGTAACGATATAATTTCAAACAGGTGATATAATGAATTTTATATCAAATGAAAGCTCGTGAAAAATGGGGTTTATTGATGCTAAATAGTAAGGGTTATGTAAATCTTTTAATGTCGAAATTAAGAAACTTTCAGAAATTTTATACATTTTTTGGGGTGGAAAAGGAAGGTGCTAGTAATGCAAAAATGGAGTAAAATGTAATCCTTGGATATTTTTACATGGTTCGATAGAGCTCGTCGAGTTCTACAAAACTGTATATACTAAAAATCTTTAAACAGGATTCTTGGGTTGAAATTCACTGAAAACTGTCTAAAGAAAGTACCCAAAAATCGGCATTTTCAACAGTTTTTTCAGGAGAAAAAAGTGGTCTTTTTTACAATAAATTAAGTTGTTTTCCATTAGTACCCTTATATAATATGTTTAAAATATATTCATTCGGTGCAGTTTTTCACGCTGCATCGAATGAGTATATTTCGAAACGCCTGCTGGGAGTAAAAATGATCAAAAAAGCTAATTTTATTGAAAATCGAGTGTTTTTCCTCCATATCAAAAATATCAGTTTTTTTAACGTTTTTTAAGATTTTCAAAGTAGTTTTTAAAATTTTTTATAACAAAAAAATGGCTTAAAAAATTTTTAGTATATACAGTTTTGTAGAACTCGACGAGCTCTATCAAACCATGTAAAAATATCCAAGGAAAACATTTTACTCCATTTTTGCATTACTAGCACCTTCCTTTTCCACCCCAAAAAATGTATAAAATTTCTGAAAGTTTCTTAATTTCGACATTAAAAGATTTACATAACCCTTACTATTTAGCATCAATAAACCCCATTTTTCACGAGCTTTCATTTGATATAAAATTCATTATATCACCTGTTTGAAATTATATCGTTACGCCCCTTGAATAATATTCTTTCCGACCCTGTACATTAATGAAAATTATCGATGAATGTCATTATCTTAATAATCTCAATTTCTTGTTTTCGAATGGATCAAGTAGATTTTCAATCAGTTATTAACACTATATGAAATTTACCTAAACTTATTCATCGCAATGTTGATATTGATATGGAAGGATCTAATTTTTTTTCATACCAATAACAATCTCTCAAATATTGAAATGTGTTTAATAATATGATTAAATGAAATCAGATAAATCAGTTATTTAAATATACATCTTATCTTAAACATCTTTCAATAATAATTATTTCTACTCATACTAATAATTATATACCATTGACTTTGTTTTCCATCATTAATCAATTTGAAAATTTGTATTCATTATACGTCTAATACATCAAGAATATTTTCTTTTTTTTTTCTAATTATTTATCTAAATCGAGAGTATTTCAACTTAGAATGAATGATACATTTCATTGTAATATACAAGCACAAGCAAATCAATTAATTGATTCATTTCGAAGTTCATTTTGGATTGATAAATATAAATAGTTTATTCGATGTATTATATCAGGTATTACAATTCATCTGTATACTTTATCAGAACTATTTAATTACTATGAATATAAATATTCTGATTCATTCCAATCAACATAAATTTTATAATGACACAATCGGTATTTATTGTGATGATTGTTTTTTGGTTCATCAATGCCATTCAATATTAGTTTACCAAATATTCAAGATCTTCATATAAAACTTCCTATCAATAAACAATTTTGATCTGTAGTTCCAACTTTAAAACGGTTTCGTTCATTTACAATATCATCCTGTATTGATGATTTTTATTCTCCAGTACAATTTTTACTTGATCAAGCACATTATCTTTCTAGATTAATGATCTATCATTACCATTTCAATACTTATTATTCAAATTAATAAATACAATAGTTCATCTATCTGAATTTAGAATGATTATGATTGTTTCAATGAAGAAAAATCTGTTTCATTGAGTACTTCATTATTAGATAATCAATATCAAATACTTTATGTTTGAATTGATTTTTCTTGAAAGTGTTATTATTCTTGGTAAAAATATGATCAATCTTCGAGTATTATATGTTAAATGTACAGTTGGACAAAATATCAAATACTTGCCAAAACCAAAGAACAATGTTGAATTTTGCAATGTAAAAGTGATAAATATAAATAACGTTATTAAATGGTTAAAAGATCGTTTGTCATTAACATATATGATCAGAAAATATCATAATTCATCTTACTATCTTCAAATATGGATGAAATAATAAAATGATACTTATCTACATTGATTAATCATAAATAATATTATTTAAAAAGACTTTTTTTGGGGTTGTTCAACTTGATTTTGATTCTTAAAAATAAAACTATAGAAAATTAGAAATAAATATATGATTCTCTATGCAACTAGAAGTTAAACATAGAAGTTACATAAAAAACATATAATGCGACAAGACGAAAAAAAAAACAAAATCACTATTAGAATTCAATATGGTATCAAATGATATCAGATATATTCTTATATTTTTACATGAAAGCCTTCTTTGAAATATTTCGTTCAACATTTTTTAATAGCATATTTTCTATTATTGTTCAAATTTAATGATTATATTGGTAAATATAAAAAATGATGTATTGATGTACCATAGTCGTCATGTGACCAAACAATAGTCAGACAAATAGGAATTAAATAATAGCAAAATATAGCACAAGAAAATAAATAACGAGAGAATAGCAATGCTCATGAAAAGTATTTATTGATATATGACACAGACCAAAAATGTTCCTAAGAAGATTCACATTATTAGAAAAAAAGTATGATATCAATGAGAAAATTTACGAAATCATCCCAACATGGATAAATTCGTGATATTAAATAATCATTATAAAGAAGATAAGAAATGACTCTATGCCATTTACATAATTGTCTAAAGAATTATTATGATGAGTTCTTAGATAGAGTAGTATCTATAATCACTTGCTTTTTATTTATCGTTTGATTACTTCGACTTAACCAGTTATGGCATATTTTAAGTCATGGATCATTTTCCAGCTAAATTATTTTAAAGAGTGGGCAGAACTGTGCAATTAAAAATCCATAGGGCTACTACAAGAAATATTCATTACTTTCAATGAAGAAAAAAGCTTGCTCACTTTGTACTGTTTCACAAATGTTTTGCTCAATTTTCAACTATTTGAATTAATTAAAACAAATAACATAAATAAGCACAAAGAGAAGTATCAGTGAATTTAAGTGGAATAATAAGTATTTTGACACAAAAATAACAACACCGAAGTCCCATCAACATAAGCATCGATTTAAGACTCTCCCCCAGAATTGAGTTCCCACTTAGAATGAGTCTTTTGAGCTGAAAATTTCAGGGTGAGTGATCCTGGAGAGATACGCCCCTGGTAAAAATTTCAGTCCGATTAGCCATACTAGACCGGAGTTTCAGCTGAATCAGAGGTCATTTTTGACCTTCAGGAGAATCGATATAACTTTGTCATAAGACGAAATATCGAGTTCGAGCTGGTCTCAAACTAAAGCTAATGTCAGTAGGCAACTTTTATCCGGACAGAATTTTTAAATTCAATCTTATTGGCTTTTTATAAACATTTTAGTGGAAAGGGTGTAAAAATCAGCATAAAAAATGGTGATCCAACGACAGTAAATTCCACTTTTCTCATCGCAGAAATCGATTTTAAAAAAATTGGTCGGGCAAAAGTTTACTCTCATTGAGACCTTTAAAGCAAAAAAGAAATATTGGATATAGCTCGAGCCGAACAGGAAGTATTTCAATTTTCCTGCCTGGAAACCGTATTCTGAGAAACACGCTAAACAAATTTTAGAACTGGATTTTTTCATTCAAATCCAAAAAAATCATGTTACAATGGTATATTATTGAGTCATTCCAGTAGCCCATTGTAAAGCACGTAAGAGATGAAGGTAGATAACGCCATCTCTCATGCTCGGTAATACAAATATGTTCAACTCAATGCTAATGCAAGTGGCAACGCATTTTTTTCAAAACTGAAAGCCTTTAAAAACCATGAAATTTTCTCGGAAAATATGGTGGTAGGTTCCGAGTTTCATGTGATAAGTCTTTGAAAATCTGATCATTTTCCAAAAGGGAATATACATTCTGAAAGAGGAAGCTTCGCTGCATCTTCCTATGATAAAAACTTAACTTCAATATTTCTTTGAAAAATTGGATTTTCTAAAGGGGGGGACTTCCGTAATAAAAAAAACAATAGGGAGTTATTTTTTCTCGATTACTTAATTAAATCACCATAAAGTACGATGTATTAAAATAAAACCATTTGAATCCGTGTACATGTATCTATATCAAGATTAATCAACATTGAACTGTTGGTATCACTTCAGAAAAAAAAAACATAAGCAATTGACTCTAAACTTGTAGACTGTTGCTCCATGGTCATAACCCTAGTTACACCATTATACGGACGTATAAATTGTAAAGAGCTGTCCAGTATTGAATATACATCTGCTGTTTTTTGACTACATAATTTATCATGCCTTTTTGTTTTTTGTATTCTCATATAGTCAAATAATTCAACAATCAATCTTCAATATCTTTTCAGGAATAAAACCAAACGATAAGTGAATATTTTATAGACTATCGTCGTTTAGAAGACGAAAATGTTGCATTCAACAAATAAAAATGTCAGTGATAAACTATGAAAAAGAAAGAATTTCGATTTTTATTTTATGTTTATTTATTTAGTAAATAAGTGACAAGAAAAAGAAAAGACTTGAATAAACACTACAATAAAATGTCAAATGTTTGATAATGTATTTGCCAAAGTTCTTTTTTTTCAATTTTATTTTTTCTGGTTTTCAATTGATTTTGTAGCTTCTTTTTGCTCAACATAAGGTGCTTCAATTTTCAATTGACCATCATTAGCTAAATGTGATTGTAAATGATCTATTTGTGTACCAGGCGGTAATGTTGTTGATTTAAAAAAGAATGATCGTTCTGAACGATTCTTATCTTTATGTTTATGTTCACCTTGAACAATTAATTCATTATTTTTAACAGATACTTTTATTTCTTCAGGTCGATAATTTTTCATATCCATTGACATTTCAAGTTGTTTATGATTATTACCTTTATCAACAATATGTGGTTGAAAATCTGAACCAAA